GCAGTTGCCAGCGCGATATCGAAGCAATAAGGTAAGAAGCAATGAGAAGCACGAGAGTCATTTCTGCTCCACGATCCCGAGCGATCAACGATCGGACAACCATCCACCCTCTCTCATGTTGGAGCTTGTCGCTCGTGTAACGAGCCACGCCGCGCGTATTGTTGCGACACAGAAAATGCCCTCTCCTTCTCTCGTAAAAACGCACACACAAGCGATCGTACTCACACCGGCACTATGATTGTCGAAGGGAACTGGAGCAGTATAAATAAGAACAGTAAGTACACCCTGTGTCGGCGCATTTGATCTTTATGTCCCACTCGGCCATGTTGAAAATTGTGCGTAAGCACCAATAAGAGCGAATAATCTTAGGGAATAGGGAAACTGATTGCTGCGCCATGTTGCAAATTGTGCAGAATTGTGCAGAACGGTCGCCATTATTTTTAACTGAGTGTACCTACTGTTCTTACTTATATTGTAACTGGAGTGCGTACCGTGCAGTACACACACAGATTTGGCACACGCATCACGTATCTCGGGGGCTCAAAGTACGGTGCGGCCTTGACAAAGGGATTATATCGTATCGTCGGTGGTATCATAGTGTCGTATGAAATAAAAACGCGACCAGCGCAAATATTTCTCTTTCTCTCTTTTTATCTCCGCTTATCCTCGAGGTTTCTAACGTCCACTATATGCGCAACCACTCGTCAAGCTCGATTCGCCCTTGTGGGATCCCTTCGAGACTTTACTCGGGTAAAGCCACGAGTACTAAGCTATATATTAGCTCGCTTATTAAAACGGATCTCTCGCGTTAGGCCAAGTGATCTCCAAGCGTATGCAAAAAAGAAAACGGGAGTGAAGGCTCGTCGCGAGAGACAGGCTTAGTGAAAAAAAGATCCTCGTCCGCTATGTAACGTCTACCAAGTGGCCCTAGAAATTAGTAATTATAGGTAAAAAAGGGGAATATCTTTATAGAAAAGGTTTTTTACGCAACGTATAGCGCGAATTATTGTGTGTTTCACCGAGTCGCCGAGTCGATCGGCGATCGAGAACTATGGCCGAGGTATTTCCGGCGAGAGATCTACGGCCGTGAGCTGCTTTAAGACTACGTTAACAAGCTTATCAGCGAAATCGGCTGTGCCGCTTTCGAACGTATAACGATCTCCAATTTTATCTAGAAAAAAAAAGCCTGACTTATATACGCTCGAAAAACCGATTACTGATAATTTCTATCTTACGTCCTTATGCGATGTAAATCGCGAGGAATCGGCGACTACGTTTGCCGATTGATTGTACGACGCGAACGTATCTGTTAAACTGATCGTTTCCCTTCAACGACGATAAACAGTCATCTGATGCTTTGTGGAAAAAATCCAGATGTGCTCTTTCTCGAGATGAATTCCATACAATTCAAATGCCAGATCTATAGCCATGTTCAAATAGACATATTTAGATTTTGCTGCTAAAAAGACGAGCAGCCTGATATAATTCCTAGAATTAAGACTCAATTGTAAGCATAATTAAGTAAAAACTATGTAAGTAAAAAAATAACAATGTGGTATCGATTTAAATCACCGCGACAAGATGATGTCCGACATGCAATTCTCATTGGCGAATTAGAAATGTGTATGGTTAATAGCATATCTGGATTTCTTCCACCATGAGTCATCTAATGTATGCGATCAGTCGATCGATCGAGCCTGCATCGTCGTTCGTAGATAGAGCAAAGGATATAAAACGCGATCGAAATATAATACAATGGTTTTTGTGGTGAAACATAATTTCTCAGGACGGTTACCTTTAGAATAGACAGCGAAACGGAGCAACGCAGACGCGTTAATTCGGCACATAGGACAGAGAAATTGACGAGTCGAAGAGATTGGTCGAAAGACGGAGAAAATTCTTCTTGCCGCTCCTCACTGCGATCGATCTGTCGCACTATCGTAACATTTCGAAGACGTATATATTATCTTACGTTCGACTTATACGTGAGCTTGGTAACAAGTAATCATGAAAATTCTAAAATTCGCCTTTCTTTTACGTTCCTTAAGCGATATTCCGCGTCGCGTTAATTTTACATCGCGGAAATGGCATTAGGGGCTAATGTGTCACTATACATATATGCGTGTAAATTCCGACAGTATTTATAGACGTTATGGTATTGTACATTATCTCATTGTCAGATAGAAAAAGTCTTCCCGCGTTAACCGTAGCGATCGCTAACCAACTTGTAGGGATTTTGAAACTATGACCGAATTCCTCGAAAAAGAAAAAAAATACGGTACTCTTTAAAATTGGTTTTTACGGGAATATCACGTTTACTTCTACATTCATATGGAAAAATAAATAAAATTGGCACATGGAAAAAATTGCGTTTACATTTCAATGTGCTTCGCGCACCAGTGAGAGAACCAATGTGATAAATGTCATAGTTCTAAAAAAAAATAATGTTTGTATATCAACCTGAACGATTCAATTTACCCTCTATTCAACGCGAGAAAAGCTTTCGTGAACGAGAGCGATTTTCACAAAATTCCTATAAATTTCTTCCAACCTTAGCAACATTGAAGTTCGATCCTGTTGTGTCATAGAGAACTTTTGTTGCCAAATGCGACGGTTATTTTTCAGTATAAACCAGATTGTACCTATCAGTTATACATAAACAGTATTCATATGTACGAAAAGCTATATTTTATTTTATCGATATATGTATATCACTGATCCTTTTACTGTCATGAAACGTCATATGTTTCAGCGACATCGAAGATTTGATCTGACGTTTCAAATTAAAATAATTTCAATCAGACAGAACAAATGAAATGATAAAAATTCAATGATAAAAATCAAGAATGTTTTTACTGCGAGTAACGATAATATATAAACGTAATAGAAGTTTCTTTTATAAAATTCAATAAATTTATAAAAACACAGAATATACATTTCGCTATCGCGAAATTACAAATATTTTTTAATTGTGAAATATAAGATTTATAGGATCGAATAATGCTTGGCAAATATTTTCTATGCTTGTATAAAGGGATTGCGGAATAAATGTATCGGAAAAAGTTCCTACTGAATCGCCATCATCATGGCGAAAAATATCCGGTAAAACTTTAAGCAATTAGTCACAAAGCGAAATGGGAAATTGCATTGGGAGTAGCGGAGTGAAGTGAATAAAAATACTTTGTTGTTTCGCGCGAGGCGTGAATTGTATCGTTGCCCGTACAATCGTGTACGGACGAACACGCACACACACGCATGCAGGTACACGCACAATTTAATAACCGATCGCCAATGGTGCTCCGTTTCTTCATCTCTCCCTTTCCTAAATCGCGCGATTTCGGCGGGTATCTTTTATGACAATTTATCTTACAATTGACAACAACAAATTTCATCCTTATTTCAATTATCCTCCCGACGTGCGTAACTACAAACGATTGTTAATAACGAACGTTTTTATGTACAGCTTTCTACACGCACGAAAATGTCCAAGGCCGTCGTCAGCGCGAGGAATCGGCGGCTTGAGAGCCCCCGTTCATTGAGCTTGTGTCCTTTCTCATCCTGGAAGACATGTAAAAAAGCACCGAGGAGTCTACACTCTATGTCAGTTTTGTCACGATACGATTTCTCGCGAATCCGCGTAAAACTCATGAAACTCGTACCCACATGCTAATATTCGCAGATCAATACTACCGTGTATCTGATTCGGACCACGTATCCTTTCGCATTTAAAGAAGTACATGAATAGACGAGAGGTCTCATGTACCAACCGATTTCTTCGCCGACGGCCAAATGCCACATGACATCATATTCTTGCGTGACTTCTAAATCGTTCCTTCGTTGTTGACATTCGGTGTGCGATCTATCGTCGAAATAAATTTTGCAATGAGCTGCGCAAACTCTCGTCGAAGATCGTAATCGCGTTCCTGAAGAGTTACTGCTCGCATCCATGCAAATCAGGAGCTCTTAATTGCTTCGTATTTATTATAACAAATTACGTATACTAGACGATTTATCGCAACTACATTAAAAATTGCCAAATTCAATGTGAAGTATTTATTCGATCGACTAAATTAATAAATTATTATAAATTATATTATATATTATATAACTCTTAGTACACAAGATGGGTCATTAATTGTGTCTTGTGCATTTCTTTGAAATATCAAAAGTACTTGGCTAAATAATGCTTATTTATTCGATCGACTAAATTAATAAATTATTATAAATTATATTATATATTATATATAACTCTTAGTACACAAGATGGGTCATTAATTGTGTCTTGCGCATTTCTATCCTTTGAAATATCATAAGTACTTGGCTAAATAATGTTCTTTTCTTTCCTTTTTTTAATACACAACTTTACAAATACCTTCTAAAGATATTAAAGTATACACAATGAAAAACATTTCGTATTTGTATTCATATCAGTACTGGAAACGATTTATTCAAGTCCTTGTTAAAATTTTGTTGAATTTTAAACATATTCGAGTATTGATTTAATACAATATGATTATGTTATTTAAATAAATGTTATTTAAATAGTTTGTGTTAAATTGATAATTAACATTTCTTAGAATTAAAATAACATAACGTAATTTACGAAGAAATAAACAAATGACATAAAAATAAATTTTAAAACGTAAATTCTTATAAGATGAATGAATAAAATAAGGTTAATTTAGCATATCATAAATGTTAATTTTACTGAAAAAATATGCTTCTAACAGTTTGTTTACAAACTGTGTGAATATTACATTTTTGGTGTTTATCATTTGAAATAATATTTGTGTTGTATTTTCTAACATATTTATCTCTTGTATTAAATTAACACATTTAAATGAACTGTTTGAGACACATGAAATGTATTAAATTTAATATAAATTTTCCAACGATGCAAGAATTACTTAATAATTTTTGTATTACTTTCTTTATAGTAATTTTTATAATATTTGTAAAAACGATGAAAATAAACCTGGACACGAAAGACTCATCGTGTGTGTATTAAGAGTTAATATTTTATAATTTATCATTAATATATTACAAACAAATTTTACTATTAAGTACTATTAAGTACTGCCAAGTTTCAATAGTTAATTTATGACCCAATTTACCAGTACTTGAAATTGTATTCTGGTTTTGCGTTTCTAATCGGAATGAAGCTTTATTGGCGAAGCTTGAAATTGAGGGCACCTAGTCTGCATCGATACGAGATATATGTACCAACGTGACGTTTCCGAACGCGGCGATAATACAATCAACGGCGCAATATGGTATGCCGCGATCAGACTTTCACGAGTTCGTCGCAATAACGTTTCTGCGATACATACATGTACGTCGTATAAAGAGACGCATCTCTGGAGCGTCGCGTTAAAATACTGCGATACAACTAATCAGCATTACTGCCGATCAAAGACTCGTTCTTTCTCACCGTCTCGGAATTTCTTCTCTGAATCGCCCGAACGTCTCCTTAAAACTCGTTGGCGACGTAGATTCCTCAACGACGTTGTTCGTTGCCGTGAAATGTCGTCGTGCTTCTCGCGAGACGAGAACTTCGTATCACGTAGCTGAAGCGAATCGAGATCGACAGACGATGCATTTCCGTCCGGAAGAATTCGCCTCGTCTTAGGGAGGCGCCGTAACGTTCTCGGGCACGGAAATATCTCTGTTCAGGGAGTTCAGCAGCTCCTCGTTCTCCTTCCGTACTGAAACGATAAGAATATTGATAAGTAAAATGAAAAACTTATCTTCTTAGAGACATATGACACACTAAGCATCTCTCGTCCTCGCACGTTTTCACAATGCGAGCGAACACGACGACCATACAGATTTATGTTACCTTCCTTCCGTGTTGAAACAGATTTTTCTCAACTTCGGATTAGACTTAATCGCTCGTGAATCAAAAGTAGCACAAAACTTAAATTAGTCTTATCGAGCGTTGCGGCGAAACTGTATTACAGAAGTTAAATCCACGAGCACAGTGAATTAACCGCGGAGAAATTCCATTTAGCTTAAAATGATGGAGAAGGGTCGTAGTTAGTGACTTTAAACTTCGAAAGTCTCGGTATTCTAATATTTAATATTTTAGCTGCTTTCCTTTGAGGAGATGCAATCGACACAAACGTCGTTTTATCCTTCTTGGCATTCAATAAATAACAAAGATAGAACGACACTTGTGCCTCCTAAAAGGAAAGTAGCTTTTATAATTCTGGGTTAGTATCCAAACTTTTAGATTTCATTTCTCCAATTTACAATTATGCTCGGCCAGTTCCTTTGAGTTGGTTGCAGGATTCAGAAAGCTGTTGTGCGTCAAGGTGATCACCACCGCTAGCACCGAAGCCACCAGAAGGAAGATAAAGGTCCCCAAAACGATCATGGCGATCCGTCGATGACGTCGCGCTTGCTCGAGTTCCTGAGTGTCCTCTATCATCTTCCGCGTCTGCTTAACGTCCACCTTTGTCTGGTGGATAGACTCCTTTCGAGAAGCTGCGGTACTTGCTCTTCGTGGCCTGGTTTTCTTGCTAACGCTGGCTCTTCTATCATCCCCTGAAGTTTCACGTCGTCGTCACATATTAATGTTAAAACGTTTTCCGTACGCCCACAGGAATTGATCGATAGAAGCGATAATCCTTTTTGTGGATGCTTCGAAGCAAAACGCGATACGTTCCATTCGTCTTTAATGCATTCGAACTATGACGTCACACAAAATTGAGAAAGTCGATCATTCTATCCGATTATATTTTGATGTCGAGAAAAGACAAAACGTCAACTGTGAGTTATAAGCTCTACAAAGGCAATATTGATTCGAGGTTAATTATAGTTTCCTTTAATTAATTATGAAGAATAAAACATTTTCTTCTATACATTAAATTCTCTTTCCAATTATTTCCTACCTAAAGGAGTCGGTTGCAGCTGTCTGCTGCAGCTGTTCGTCCTCGAGCGACTCGACGAGCTGAAACGTCTGCTGGACCGCTGATCGATGTCTAGGTTGCATCTGGAGCGTCTCGGGCTGTTCGTTTGAGAGTATACATTAGGAGAAGGCGATCTGTCGCTCGAGTCGGGAAGATAAAGACCGGAACGATCGTCCAGTTGGAAGCCCAGACTGTCTGGAGTGGGCGGATGTAGACTGGAACGATGACCTGTCCGGGTACCATTCGGTTCGCCGGACAACGCGTAAACATCCTTAGCACGGTTATAGAATCCTGACGATAAATCCTGGCCAGTTGCTGCCGCGAAATCATCCACATAGAGAATTATCCTTTCGCACGACGCGACACTCGGCCGTCGATTCCGATCGTCCCGATGATTAATGTCCATGGCGAGCGAATTAATGATCTCGAAAACGCGCCGAGAAGTCCAGAATATCGTTCTTCATCGTTATATCTTCGCCATCGATTGCTTTACGTCTATTTGACCGGGGCTTACACCAAAAGATATATTTTTCCTCGAGGGAATTGTAAGTCTGACACTTATAAAATGACTGATTCATATCCCGTCATATTATCGATGATGTATATCGCATCTTCGAGGGTCACGTTATCCATCATTTTGTCCCTGTAGACTCGCTATCGTAAAGTACTATTATTAATTCGGAAATAATTATTTCTCTAAAATAACGAATTGATTTTGAAGACAGAAACTTTAATCGTATCCTCGCTGCTGGCTGCGGGAAAAGATTTTTATGGAGAGTAGGTGATAAATAACTGGAGAGCTATTTATATCGCGTCGTAAAGGGTGATTAAAGTAGATCGACCGCGGTTTTCACGGGTTTCCCATCACAGGATAGAACATTCTCTCTTGCGAGCACTTTCGCGTTTAATCGCGACCACGATACACCGCAACAAGCGAGATGGGGCCACGTCTTCTATAAACGTCAGCAATGTTCGAATATTCTTGCAAGAATGCCGCATAAGCGCTTCCCATGTATAAGACGGTTACAGAATATATATTACCTATATATTCGTCAGCTAATTACTCAGTCTTAACTATCATCTTATTCAGGAAATATAAACCTTAGTATCACGATTATTGGCACAAATATTGGTCCAATATACCCCCAATTTAAGTTTAACCAAAGTATCTAACCCAGATCAAAATGTCTACAGTCTTCTAGCAGACTGTCAGCAGATTCGAGCAGAAAATGACGGCAGTCTGCCATCAACTGCGTCCGCATTAGGCTGTGTTCTGTTAACATCGCCTATCGATATAATGTGAAGGCAAACTGTTGGCAGAAACTGAGCAGATCCTACCGACATTATCTGACGCTTGCAAATTCTGTTACATTTTTTCTCGCAGTCTGTCAATAGTTTTATGTATATCTAATTCTGTTGTTATTTTGTTGGCATAAGGTGTAGCAGACATTTAAAAAATCTGTTTTCTACAGACTTGGCTATCTGGGTAAGTTATTAAGGACCAAAAAATTGTTTTTGTAATAATTTTATAATTTTAAATTTACTTCAAATACTTCACTTTTCCGTTATATATAAAATTAACAACGATATTATAATTCTCAATTATAATAACTCTTGTTGGGAGTATTGCGAAAGGAAATGGTACCGAATAACCAGGTCTCTACTAGTGACGTCGGAATTATCACGAACATACACGAGGAGTGAGAAGGTGTTGAAAAGAGTAGAGACTTAGAGCGATGTACAGAGATGTGCTGCTGAGCTTTATTCGAAATCAACTGTCGTCGTTAAGCGATAGACATATACAGGTACCGAGAGGTAACCTTCGCTTCGCGAGAAAAGAAAGAAAGATTGTGAATGTATAGGTACATCGTGTAACGCGAAGTAAACAGCTGATAGGTAGAAACACTGTCACGAATTTTAGCCGCGTTGGTACCGATAATAAGCGTGTTTTGAACGAAATAGCTGTCGACAGAAATAAACGGTGAAATTAACTCGATAACGCAAGTATTTAACATGACGGTTTATGTAATTCTGAAAAATACTATGACGATCTGAGAAGAATTAGCGTACTGAATTTTTACTGAATTTGGTCCAAATAACTCTATATTATAATTTATTATAATATAGAGTTGTTTGGACCAAATTCGTATTTATCGAGCTCTACGAAATTTGATGCGGATATTAAAGTTACATATATATTCGTTGTAAAACAATGTGGAGTTCGAAAACAGTAGAGATAACTTTGAAATCTTGCGTAATGAGATGGTTAAACTGTATAATTATAACGATAACAAGAATAATGTTCTTGACCTTGATTCTCAAGGACTTTGAACTCGAAGACACGTAGTTATTATTAATTATCCTTGACAAGTAATGTTACATTGTACAGGTATCTTATTATAATAAACCTATTAGAAAGGCTTGACGCAATGAACACAATCACACGTCAATTCTAAATTGTTATTGCTCCGATCAAGTGCACCAAGCATTTCAAATAAAAGAAACAAAGCCGAAGGAAATCTATTAAAACAATCTTGTGCCTATAATTAGATATAACATTGCATAGTAAAAAACGTTCTGTATTGGAAACGATTCACTCAAATCTTTGTAAAATTTTGTATTGAAATTTGAAAAACATATTTGAGTGTGTTAATTCAACATAATGTGATTATGTCATCTAAATATTTTATGTTGATATTCAAAATTTCTTGGTATCAAAATTATACAATTTATAAAAAATTAAATGGATAAAAAAATAACATAAAAATAATATATTTTAAAATATAAATTCTAAGCTAAATAAATAAAATACATATTAATTTAACATATCATAAATGTTAATTTTACTGAAAAAAAAATGTGTTTCTATAGTTTATTTATAAACTGCATTAATATTACCTTTTTTATTTTTTAAAATAATATTTGTGTCATATTTCCTAATATATTCATCTGTTAAATTAATATAAAAATTTGAACCGTTTGGAATACGTGGAATGTGTTAAATTTAACACATATTTTCCAACTGTGTAAATTTTATTCTTTTCGTGCTTATTTTTATACTTCGAGAATATGGGCGCCGTGATGAAATTATCCCAAGTTTATGGCGGCGAGTAATGACGTAAACATTGCGAAATCTTGAGAACATTATTGAGAAGTAATTATAGAGAAGAAACAAAAGTTCTCAAGAAGAAGAAGAAGAAGAAGAAGAAGAAGAAGAAGGACGGCTAAAAACGTTGATCCATGTAGTGGACGTCACCCTTGAGTTTATTGCGACGTGTATTTATAGCGATGTGGATCCAAGGCACCACCGATCCGCTCGCCGTGTCTCTTTCTTTGCAGCCCAAAATCCGTCGACGGATATACGCAAATTCCACGTGTACGACGCGCACGCACACATATTTTCACGTTCATGCCGACAAATATACTTGGCCAAATATTTAGAGAACTCAGCACCCACGGGTAGCGGTTGAAATTTATATTTGAATCTCGTCGTCGGCGTGTAGAATGAAGACGACGATCGATTTCTCGCTAGTCCCTTAAAAAAATCCCTTGGCAAAGTGAATTCGACGGATTCTCGACAGATGGATAGTCTCGTAGGATGGATGAGAGCGTAAACGATAGCCTGAATGGCGGGGCCGTCAATTTTTCTCTCCTACTTGGAAACCTATCGTACTGAAGCCATCGACCACAGTTATCCACCTGGCGAAGTGCTCTTAACGATAGTCACGGCTTCGATTTACCGCATTCCGATACCCACGCGATCGAGGGATTGGTATCCGGAAACGGAAACTAGT